GGTGCCGTCGCGTCAGGCGTGTTTCACGAGCGTGCCGAGTACACCGGGCAACTGGCTTTGAATTCGATCGAGGGAACCTGTTAATGACGCGAGTGCGTGGCGGCTCGTGACACAGTGACACGGTGCTCGTGAGATTGGTACGCGAGAGTGCGCCTCGCGGAAAGAGCGGGAAAGTCCCGACGGGATTTTCAAATGGCCTGGTCCTCCCCCCTCCCCGCTCTCAGCCGTGAACCGAGAGGCAACGACGTAGCGTAGACGCCAACGGCTGGAAGATTCCGGATAAACAATTACGAGATAAGGAAGGGAGCAACGCTAAACGAGCGCGGTGTAAGGTCGCGTTGAAGATCGATAACATAGCGCCTCGGCGAATATCAAGCGGCTCGTATGTTCGCCGCGCGCGAACCTAACCTAGCGGACTGGCTGCGCCTCGAGCTAAGGTGCACTGGAGAACGCGGATCGATGTCGTGCCCGAGCGTTCCGGCGTTCCTTTCTCCAGAAGGACACGACAGCGATGCCTCTTCCGTAATCCGTGGAACGTGGAGCCGCGGCGAGTCCCGTGAAGCCTCGCAGTCCGCATCCAGGAAGTAGCGTGCCTCCGTCGCGCGCCATCTTTGATCCTCCAGCGATGACAGGTGGTGGACGGTGATTGTCCATCCTCAGGGGCCGCGGGTGATTCGATCGGACCGCTCGATCGAACCCTCTCCGTCGGGCGTCCCTGATCCAGGGGACTCCCGCGCTTCCAGTGAACCGTTCCCGGTCGCAACCCGGAAGGATCCACTCGGTGGACGGAAAATCATCGCGGGCGTCGAATGGAGCCACGGAGGAGAGAGAATACAAGGCGCTTTTATTTTTAGCCGACGCCGGTTCGCGCATCGCAAAAACCGGTTCCCGAGTCCCGGGCCGTAGCCACGAGGTAGCGAGCCGCGTATACGCGAGAGAGCAGGCGAGAGAAGGGTTTTAGGTGAACCCAGAGGGAGCGAGAGGGAGCGATACGCACGGCGTGTGTATAGGACGTGGACGATCGGCTGCCTTCCTCGCACGGCCGACGTCGAACGAACGATAAAAGGAGAGAGCGGACGCGGAACGTGGAATTCGCCTAAGCCGATACACCTCTCTCTCTCACTCTGCCCGTCAGCCTGCCCCCCTGCCCTTTCTGGAAGCTACTTTCTCTCCCACCGAGTGTCGAACTATCGATTGCGTGCATACACGCGGGTCTATCCTGCATACTCGACGTACGGCAAACGTGACATCCAACGGGGAGAGTGCGAGATTCGTGGATCGTCGTTGTGGATGGTTCGGTGGTACGTTTACGTCGGCCGGTGTAATTAGTCGGCCTTGATACGCGCGCGTATGAATACCGGTGTGTGCTGCGCGACCGTTTCGCGGCTCGATCGTCGAGCAGAAGAATAAGTGCGCGGTAGGTGTGTTTGTATATGTAGAATATGTATATTTGTGTGTGCGTGCGTGTGCACAACACGGTACCCTGAACAAAGGGAACACAGCTGGAGGGAGAGAGATAGAGAAGCGAAAGAGAGAGAGACTGAGAGAGGGGAAGAGGGAACGGACTGTACAACGCGGACGGAATCGATTCGAAGAGAGGTTAGGGTATCCACGAATTGTTGCGCGGCAGAACGAGATCGACGAGACACGGGAACGGAATGAAGAATGGCAACCGATTCGAGCAACCGTCAAGACGTAAGGGCGGTCGCCACGACGACTACCGATCCGCAGCGAAGCGAAAAGCGCGCCGTCGCGGCGCGAGGCGCCGCCGGTGCTCTGGCCCTCAGTATTCTGGCCGTGGTCCTCCAATCGGCGGCCACGGCGACCCCCACTTGGGGCTACTTCACCAATCCTGACGGTGAGTCATGCTTTTGAAATTCCTACGGATCGGAAACCCGCGCCCGTAGATTTTCCTTGATTCGACGCGACGCGTTAATGCGCCGATGGATCATCGATCGCCGCGCGCACACTTTCTCTTAGGCGATTTTATACTCGTTTCAGCTCGCCGGCTACGCCGTCGGACCTTTCATTGGGTTTTATTGGATTTACCGGGATATTTTTGTTTATGTTTCTATTTTTACTGTTAGTTTTAGGTTTATTTTGTAGTTTCATTTTTGTGGGCGTCATGGTTTATGACGTTGATGTTTGTTCATTGTATTTTTATTTATGTTTTTATTTTTACTTGTATTTTTAGATTTATTTGTAGCTTAATTTTTGTGGGCGTCATGGTTGACGTCGTTGATGTACGTTAATTGTTGATTGATGTTTATTGTTTATTTCGTTTTATATTGTTCTTAGGAAAATGGGTGTTTGTATATGTAGATCTTGGAAATTGGAGGATCATTTAATGAAATGAATTTGAAATATGATGTTAGGGCTAACAAAACCTTTAACGGGGTGTTTAAGATTCTTAACACTAGGACTATCGAGCACTTAAACAATCTTTTTAAAATTCCTTTATAAAAATTGTAAGCGTCAATTTATTAAGATTTCAGTTAGTTTATATTTCAGTTTAGGTATTACTAAATCAGATTTTTTAATGATTTCTTAAAGAAGTACATGTTCCTTTGCAGTAATTCTAAAAGAAGAATTGGTAGTTCACACCTGGTAGTTCTAGTGTTAAGTATGCCTCATTGTTACATAGTTGGTGATTTGAGTATAAAGATTAATTATACTCAAATATTTATTATATTATAAATTAAATATTTGAGTATAAAGATCAATTATACTCAAATATTTATTATATTATAAATTAAATATTTGAGTATAATTAGTCTTTATACTCAAATCATCAACTATGTAGCAATTAAACACCATAAATAATTTTTATGATAATGATAATTATTCTTATATTAAAAATTTAAAAGTTATAATATATTGTGGTTTACGAAGAGCGTTTCAACGTTGTGGCTACTTTATAAGTGGTATTCCGAGTCTACGTGCTAAAATACTCAATTGACTATACAAAGAATGTTGACGATGTGTTAGTTTCCCTCCGAATGAATTATTTACACATTCCCGTGACTTTAAAGCTTTCCAAGGTGTTTCCGACGGTGATGCAAGTTGAATATTATTTGTCAAAAAATACTTTTTCATTAGTCATCGAAGGTCGCATTACGATTACTTAGCGACTGCTAACGTAACGTACGATACAAATTATCAAATTGCCTGACCAAACTCTAATATACAGAAGTTTTTTAAGTATTACATACTCGATACTAGCAACAATATTCTGCTATCATCGTGTATTTACAGAATCGTCAAACAAAAAATATTATCACTAGTCAAATAAACATAAGAACTACATATTCAAATTATTTACATTTTAATGATAACACTTGCAATTGAATAATAATGGTAAATTCTTAATTGTAATATTATAAAACAACATACCGCGGTGTATGTCATTTTTTCCTAGACCATTACAATGAACAACGAAACACTACTAAGCAGCAATGTAATCACACTGTTAACTCTTTACATAAGTTTCTTCTGAAAACTTTTATTATTTATTCCCATTTGCGTCTTCGAGTTCTCACTGTCAGTCTTCGTTAATCTTTAACAAGGTTCGCGACAACGTGTCCCAACGTCGCAACATATTTTTCCTCTTCCCGGCGCACGTGTTCGCAAATGAGATTAGTGACCATGAATACCAGTTGCGCAAGCTCGCGACTCAGCGTAGTTGTCTTCGCGGTTCCTATTGCATAATTTACGGAGAAGGCGACTTGCAGCGGCATGCAGCGTGACTTAATCGAGGCTCGATAATATCTTGTAAAAGACCAGAGTACAGTACAGTGGGACCTCGCTTATCTGAACACGTCGGAGGACGAGTCTGTCCGAATAACTGACGAGTTCCGATAACAGAGGCTCACCGACGATTCTTACATAAAACAGATCGATCCTGATTTGAATCTTGTAGAATTTTGTAGAATTGTTCTGAAGAAACTTGACTACTTAATTTCTGCTTTAATACATTGTTAATCGGTCACGAGTTAATTCATGTTTGCACTCGCATTAACCATGTCAATTCTTGAAACGCAGGACAATATAGAATATTTCAAAAGCAAAGTACTCAAAGTTATATAAAAGATACGTTCAAAGTTTGATTCCAGTTCATTATGTATAAATGAAGTAGGTATTGAAGTTTATTTAGATCGCGCACTTTCAAATGCAATTACGGAATAATAACCGGTGACATGGGATAGCTGTGCATAAAATTGCCGGTCAACAATGTGTTAAGAAATCTGTCTCGATTGCATGGGAGCCTCGATGAGTGTTTACTTGGCAGGCGAAGTGTTAAAGGTTATACGTATATAAGTACGTACGTAGAGTATGTACGTAGGCGTCCGTATAACTGAAAACACGCTTGGCAATAATTCGGATGATAAAGGTTCAATTAGGAGTTCATGTGTTAGAGGTTCATTATTTACTGGCCTGGCAAACGAGGTTCGGATAACTGAGGTTCCACTGTACTGACACGGACCGCGGAGGGAACAGTTCGGTGATTCGCGAGGAACACGATGAGGAGTAAGCTTCTGCACGGTATTTAAATCGAAACCTTTCTATACATCTGCTCCTCGTTTAACTGTTACAAGGACACGCACACCAACTCCGCGTATAAGCTGCCCTTTGTGCGCGAATTAAAAGTCGTTACACGCGTGTCCGAGGAGTTTAGGCGGTGAACTTATTGTTACTTAATCGTTACGCAGGTTCGTGGCACGTAGATTGTTACATAATACGTATCGCAGCGCCGTTTCCAGACCGGAATACAATAGTAGTCTATTTATCTGAAACGTGTCGGAAGACGGAATACTTTGGACGATTGGAATACCGGAGACAATGGTAGAACACTGCTGTTTGTATGTTTCGTGTATTAAAAGAAGTTTTTGCTAGTAAGAAGTAGTATTATTCAGAGCTTGAGGGGATTGAAATGAAGAATTATTAAATAATTGTAAAATAGTAAATGTATATTTGATTATATATTATTAGTATTATACATTTTACGAATAGTAAAATATTAAGCAACTAGGTGATAGATATAATTAATAGATAAAATAAATGTGCTGTATTATAGACTTAATACTTAGGAATATCAATGCAAACGAATGCGACGAAAGTATTTATAAAATATGTATATAGTTTTACATTCCTCCTATTTCCAAATGATTTGCCCTGTTTACATTACATGTTATAAATATAAAAATTAATGTTAAGTAGCTAAAGTCTTAGTATCCAATTTGTTCTATCGTTCTTAGGGAAATTAATATTCATTCGTTTAAATCTTAAAAATTAGAGGTTCAGAAGTAGATAATTAGGACACATATTTGCGTAACTGCGTCAATCAGAAGTGAGCATCACTGCTCAAACATTTACCAAATAATTATGAAATTCAATATGAGCCAAAGTGACTCGTTCCGTAAATCCGGTGTTAACTACAGTGGCCCCGGACTTACGTCCTAATTGGCTGCGGAGTGGCCGACGCAAATCAGGGTACAGAGGGTAGGCATGTATGCGTGTATGCAAATATACACATTTGTATATGTATCTATCAGATTACGAGATACATTTCCTTTTAAATGTATAAAAATGATAGAAGAGATTACATTTAATGACTATGAAGAACCGAAGAGATTACATTTAACGAATGTTTACAAAGAACTGAAGGGATCACGATATCCACGAATAATACTTGAACGTACTGAATGGCTTCTTTCTATTGTCATTACAACATGTTCTTTATCTTTATGAAACGTCCTCACAGTTTCTTTTGGCAAAACGGGGAGCGTGGAACGTAACTCAGGGCTCCACTGTATTCGATGTACATTTGGTAATTATTTCATTGATCGAAAACATCGAAGACAGTTTATATTAGTGAAAGCTTATCGTTAGAAGTTCTGTCAATCAAGTACGCGGTATAATTTCGTTCGACCAAATGAAGTTCCTGTGTACGTACGCTATCTATCCACGCATCGAAACTTCTCCCACCGTTGTTTCCTTCATTCATATCGGATCTCATGGATCTAGAAAGGACAGTTTGCTCCCCACCTTTTACGAGACCAGAGCGACCTAATTCAGTGCACGGCTCTCCGTATATCGAGTCAATTAATTCCGGCAGGTCGTTTTTACAACTACAACGCGCCCCGCCTTTCATCAACCACCTCTCCCCGACCTGTTTCCCCTAAGATAACGCCGCAGGTTGCCTACTCGCGACTCAATCCAGCCTTTAATTCTAACCTCAGTCTTTTCTCCTCTGGTGTCTCGAACTTATTGCAGAACACTGTTATGTACCGTTTGCCTCGGCTAATGGAATACGATCCCAACCATCCAAGACGCTACAGTAATTGAGTGAGTGTCTGGAATAAGAGCCTATGTTACATTTCATAACTCTCAGAGGTCGCTGGAAAAAACAAATTACTGTTCAACCAGTGGACAGATGACTGGTGTATCATATCCTCTTCTTTCAAATTGAAAAATTAAAACAATTATTTAGTAATTGATACTATATAGGTTTATGGGACGCGTCAATTTGACGCACACTAAATTTTGTGAACGTTATTTGGAAAATTTTTACGTCGACTTCGATCAATGCGATTATAGGAACATGTATTCTAATTGTTTATTTTTAAACGTCTAGTTCCTAAGATCTAAATGAATGAGTATTAATTTTTTTATTAGTTAAATGAACTCTACAGTAAATGTCTGTAAATCTAGTACTAAACAGAAATTTATTACGTTTTAGAAACACAAAACTGAAGAAAGACCTAATTTTTATAGGTCTTAGAAAGAAATTTTAGCAAGTCGGTAAATTGTTAGTTGTTAATGTTTAAATTCTGAAATGGAACTTTGCAGAAACGTTCT